AAAAAAAAAAAAAAAAACTCTCAAACTACAAATATCGTAATTTATATTCTTAAACAGTTAAAAATAATAAATTGTTGTAAAAAATGTACCAAAAATCTCAAAATAGAAATGAAATCAGATAGAAATTTGTTAAGTTCGTTGAGCAAATTACCGTACAGAAAACTATTAATGCCAAATAAAAACCTGTCCCTGATAGCTAATCTCCAAGTAACCATTATCGATATTTGGTGCAAAATAATTACAGCCCCTTTGACGACTATATTTTAGCATAGTATGATTGCATAGTTCAAAATTTACTCGATCCTAAAGATATGATTTTTTCGACACATAAGCAACAAAAATTGAGCAAACAAGTTTTGAAGGAACTGCTCAAAATGCACTTCAAAAGCTATGTAGTGTAAGCTTTTATAGTAAGACCGTTTCATACAAACAAATCAAATTTTTTTTTGTTATTGTTATCAATGCCAAATTTGGATGTCTATCGAATTTTTCAAAAGAAATGATAATCTGTTGAAGACAGATCAAAAAAGGAGAGTAACTACGGCAAATTTTCAAATCTAAATTTTTTTTATTTTTTTTCATAAACATAAAATTGGTGATGTCATTAAAAATAAAAAAAGTCCGTAATTCTGGTTCTGTTTAAAAGTCTTTACATCTCATTAGTCGTATTTTAAAAAACTACCTTTAACAGTTTGTCACTTTTTTAACATACGCAACTGCTTATTGGTGATAAAAAAAATTTTTGTCATTCAGTTTCTATGACTGTATTTTACAGCAGTGTTGTCAGAAGTGTTTCACAAGATGAAATCAATAAGCTTTGTTTATATTTAGGTTTACAACGGCATAAATCTTCAAAAAGTTTATAAACGGCCCGAATAACTCTATAACTGTAAGCAGTTCAGAGACAGAAGAAGAGAAGGAATGTTGCTGATATGTGCTCAAAAGTCTTCCAAATTATTTGTCCATTGTACTTACGTTTTTTTTTTTTTTTTTGCTAATTTTAGTTAATCGTTTATGCATCATTTTTCTCTTTTTTTTTTCTAAAGTTTAATTGCAGTGGCAAAACAGCTAAAGAACAGAAGATTTTTAAATTTATTCTTTTCTTACAAAATTAAATTGAAACAAATTTTAATACAGTGCAAACAAAAAGATGACAGTTTCAAATATTCATATCATATTAAACAAAGTAAAAGAAGAGGAGAATGTTGCGGACAAAATTTTAGCGCAGATAAAGGTATAAAAAAGAAATTTTTTTTTACAAACAAACTTTAACTTTCGGAACATTTTGAAGAATTTTTGCCATAATCAATCGATTATTAAAAACTGCTGTTTGAGCATCTGCAAAAAAAAGAAGAAAAAATTTTATTAAATTACATAAATATTTGTTGTTGATTCTTTTTTTGGTTAGCATAAAATGAAGTTTGTATACAGTTTATCGAATAATAGTTTTACTCTTCCTTTTTTGTTTTTCTTTTTTGATCATTAATATACATACAGTAGTCGTGAATTTTATTGACAAAAAAATTTTTTTTCTTAAACCTACCCACATCATGAAGATTTTTTTGTGGCAGTCTAGTTTTCAACATTTTTACACTGCCTCTATTCGTTATGATTCCAGTAAAAAGACTTTCTTCTAAAAATTACACTTGTCTTCTCAAATAATTATTCAAAGTTTATAGTACTAAAACAAATACCACCAATAAATTACAGCAAACAAAAATTGTTTAGGTATATCATCAAATGTTTGAACATTTAAATCTCACTGATACTACCACAACAACAATTTTCAAGTTTTTGTATAACTAACAACAGACGAACAACGGATGACAGTCATTCAGCTTCTAATAATTTTAAAAAATTTTTTATATACTGGTCAAAGATTACCCAA